ATGACCCCGCTCCTGGGGTTTCGAAGCCATGACAATACACATTAAGCTGAGAGTTCCACACAGTCACTGAAACGTCCGTCCTTGTTGCCCTCACTGCTCCTTGGGGGCACAGGACTGCCCTACTTTCCCAAGGGTGAAAGCGGAGATGGACCTTGGTCACTCCACGCCATGAACATTCATAGGATGTTAAAAAATAAATAAAAGGGGGGCGCCTGGGTGGCTCAAGTCGGTTAAGCATCTGCCTTCGGCTCAGGTCATGATCCCGGGGTCCTGGGATCGAGCCCCGCATCGGGCTCCCTGCTCAGCGGGGAGCCTGCTTCTCCCCCTCCCGCTCCCCCTGCTTCTGTTCCCTCTTCGCTGTGTCTCTCTCTGTCAAATAAATCAATAAAATCTTTAAAATGAATAAATAAATAAATGAAAGGATCACACGAATAAAGCCATTCTGCAAGGCAAGCACGATGCACCACCGACCGAGTCTGCTCTAAATCAAGCCAGCCTGGGCCAGCCTGGACAGCAGGCCCCTAACAGTGGGGCCTGCCTTGTCCCCGTAATCCTGTACAGACGCCAGAACAATGGCCCGGGTGTTCTGTCCCCGGCACCAGCCGGGCCCTTCTGTGTGGCAGACGACAGCCGGGGCGGGGCAGCCAGGCATGCTGTCCGTCCGGCCAAAACCCCCGACCCCAGTCTGGGCGTCACCACCGTCCAGTCCGATTTGCCCGGGAGACTGTCTTGTTTTGTCTCCCTTTCCCCTGGGCACAGTCCTTTCTCGGTTTCTCAGCCTGGCTGAGAAACAGACTAGAGACCCCAGGTCGAACCTCCGGATTTTGAACTCCTCTGCTGCTCCAGCCTGGGTCTGCTGCTTGGGAGCCAGGGCTTTCGGGCAAGTCCTAGCACTGCCCTGGGCCCAGTTGCCCCATCTGTTAATGCAGCTGTGCACCAGGCCCCGGGGGAGGGAGGAACTGGCCAATGTCAGCACTGGCAAGGGTGGGCCAGGCCGGGACCTCTGGTGTTGCTGATGGCGGGGATTCTGGTCCAAGCCATGTGCAGGACAACGAGGCGATGTGGCTCAACCACAGACTTACCATCTTCTAAGGAAATAATGCCCAAGGGAGATAGAGAGCTGTGCCTCACGGGTCTTGTCGAAAAGGGGAAGCTAGGAATAAGGGCAGTTACCACAGCCAGGTCTTTCCCAGACATGCTTCCAAGCATTGCCCTCCATTTGCTCAACCCTAAGAGGCAGATACTGTATTACCCCTGTTTTGGACTTCAGAGGACTGAGGCCCAGAGAAGGTAAGCAACGCACCCGAGGCTGCACAGCCAGGGCTGAAGCTGAAATCTGAACCCACAGCATCTGGCTCAAAGAGCTCCACTTCAGACCACAGCACTGCAATGCCCCTCTGCCCGACACAGTAAAATGAGGTTCCTTCGAAGGAATGACGCCCTCAACAAAGTGCCACCCTTTTTAAATGAAAACGTTTCAAAGCGGAATATGACCTAGCAAGTCAACCCACTCAACTCTTCATTTTCTAAATAAGGAAACTACAGCCCAGGAAGGAAAGAGACTTGGTCACGGCCAGGCAGGGGGCACAAAGATCGGCCTTTCTTGATTCTAGTGTCTCTTATGTCCATTTACATTGTCTACATTTCAGGCAAAGTACAAGGATGTGGGTCTATTACTTTCATTACAATAAAACCCAAGGGTTTATCAGCAATCTTATAGGCAATCCACTGATTTTTCACATGGAATTCATGGCAAGAGGCATGTGGAGAAGTGCCACAGTCCACAAGACACAGAATCCAGAAAGGCCCATCGGGAAGGTCTCTTAGAGAACATCTGTTCTGAGTCCCTATTAAACAGAGGGGAAACTGGCTGGTGTGCCAGGATCAGCAGGATTTTAGTGACTGTGGAAAGACACATTGTGCCAGCAAAATTGACCCTTTGTAACTTAAATGGCTGTATTTGCAACTGGAGCATAAATGTGAGGTATTGTGATAGCTTCAGATAATAAACCCTTTTAAATGCATTAGTGAAAATGGCAAAAGGTAATGGTCAAAATACTACACTGCACCTGCAGTTCGAGACGGCATCCCAGCTCCCCGGCCACAGGGGACAAGGGGGTCTTTCCATCTACCAGCATCCCTTTAACAACTGGGAACGTGCCTGAGCTGCCAATCATGAAGCCCGCCTCCCTGCCCGTGGGATGTGCATGTGACCTAAGTTGAGCCAATCAGGGTCCTTTTAAGGGAATGATTGACACTGAGGGCTCCCTCTTCCCCTGGGATCAAGACCCAGAAGAAGCACCCTAGCCTGGCCCGTTGCTCCTGTACAGAGGCCACCAGAGGCCAAACCCAGAGAAAAGAGAGATGAGAGGAAGCTACTGCTGGACCCCTGGATCCAGCCACACCTGAAGGCTGGAAACCCTGCGCTTCACAGTTTAGAAAGCCAGGCAATCCCCCTTTCCCCTTCAAGGTCTCTGAGCTCGCAAACAAATGTATTATGACCAACAGTTCCAAGTGAAACTTCACACCGAAAAATTCTTTTTTTTTTTTTTTTAAAGATTTTATTTATTTATTTGACAGAGAGAGACGCAGTGAGAGAGGGAACACAAGCAGGGGGAGTGGGAGAGGGAGAAGCAGGCTTCCCGCGGAGCAGGGAGCCTGATGTGGGACTCGATCCCAGGACCCTGGGATCATGACCCGAGCCGAAGGCAGACGCTTAACGACTGAGCCACCCAGGCGCCCACACCGAAAAATTCTATTTCCCGAAAAATCACCCTCGGCCCCTGGCTCACTCAACCAAACTGAGCCGAGTTCTAGACCTGAAAGGAACTCTGTAGCCTGCTCATGGGGACGGGGTTTCCTTTGGAGGTGATGTAAAAGTTCTGGAACTAGACAGGGACGGTGGTTGCCCAACACTGAATGTGCTTTAACACCACTGAGTCATATGCTTTAAAATGGGGAAAATGAGCAATTTTATGTTACTGCATTTTACCACAATTTTTTAAATGGAAAGAAAAAAGGAGCCCTGCAAAATTCAAAAGACCGCCCCACTGGCAAGCGTTCTCTCCCCACATCCCCTCCCCTGCTGGCCACACAGGTCCGGGCTGGCCAACGGAAGAGGAACACGCATGGAAGGTGGAATGCAGCAGGCGACCTTTGGCCACAGAACAGGCACTCTGTCATTTTTCATTCTGCTGCCACAAAGGAGACCCCTGAAAACTGGGCAACCACTAAATCCCAAAGGGACCTGGAGAAAAACAGCCCGCGGGGTTGAGTAGGGGGCTTTCCAGAGCAAGGGTGTCAGTGCTGAGCAGGGTGCAGAGCGGTGTTAGCTAGTGATGCTCACCAGGATGTGAACTCAATGACGTTTATTAAATAAACACTTACTGGGTCCCAGACCTGGTACTAACGCGCTCAGAGAAGATCATCTGACAACTCAGACCTTTTAAAAATGATTTCACATCCGTTAACTCTGGAACCCCACCTCCTGAAAATGGATCCTAAAGAAATAACTCCGTGGGAGAGACAAAGGAGCTGCATGTATTAAAATGTGGGTTGGAACATTATTTATAAAAATAAAAACTCGAAGCAACTCAATAGGCCAACAACAGGGGAACATTTAGTACGTAACAGTGCACTTGTAAACCAAATAGCACCAAACTCAGCCACCAGAAAAACGCTCATTACAGAGACTGCAGCTGCATCATTTATGAAATTAGGTTGGCGGTCATGGCGGGGGGGATGCCCACCTAGAGTGCGCTTTGCAGGCTGAGATGCGCTGGGGTGGGGGAGCTCGCCCCCAGAGCTGGCAGGGCGGATGGAAAAGACAGGCCACGATAATGCAAGGATGGGAATTCTTTTTTCTTTCCTAACATTATTTCTTAAGTCAAAGTTTTATTTGCAGGATAATTTTAGACCTACAGAAAGGCTGCCGGAGAGACAGTAGGAGAGTTCCCACATACCCCACACTCCGTGTGTGTGAGGGCTAACATCTTACGTTCCTGCACTAAGTTGGTCACAGTTGAGAAGCCGACACTGAAACATTACTGTTAACTAAACTCCAGAACTCGTTCCGATTTCACCGGTTTTTCTGTTCCAGGATCCAATCCACGAGACCACGTTCTATACAGCCTATTTTTGTGTTTGTTCTGTTTTTGGTTTTTACAATTCAATGGTTTTTCACATAGTCACAGATACATGCAACCATTGCCATAGTCAATTCAAGAACATCTTCATCCGCTGAGAAAGCAAGCCCGTACCCGTAAGCTACCATCTCCTGATCGGGGGCTTTGAGAAACCCTTTTGCAAAAGAGAGAACCCTTTGGTAAGGAGAGAACTCTCCATCAGCTCCCTTTTCCCCTGGTTTATCTTTCTGGAAATCAGATTTTCTCTTCTCAGCGTGACCCCAAGCCCTCGCCCCACCTGAACCACCTTGGAAGTTTCCGACAGTACCAATTTCGGTTACATCCGGACCAGAGAAACACCTGGAAATAGAGAGCCCTCTAAAACTTCAGGAACTCAGGGACAAAACCCCTCTTCCTACTAACCTAGCAAGGACTGGGGAATAAGCGTTATTACTGAGCACCTACCGCCTGCCCAGCACTGTTTAGAGGCCAGGCACGAAGTCTCCCATTGGGTCCTCGTGGCCACCACTGGAAGTCAGCCATGATCACCCATGATCCAAGTAGACAGTGGCTACCATTTTGATCATCCTTCCAGCCCCCTTCTTCATGAACCACCTGCCCCATCTCAAAGGTAGGCCCTCAGCTGCCATGTTTCCACTATGTGGTGGTCACAATCACAAACCTGGCTACCTGCCCGCACCCCGCACCCCGCAAACAACTCTGGGAACATTTCCTCAGTGGCTCTGGGGGTCCAGAGATGTGGCGCAGTTTGTTTTACGTCCTAGGAGCCAAACCCAGCCCACCCCGTCCCTGGGGATGGTGATCCTTTGTGGGATGTGGCCCGCCCGGACCCAGGAAGAACCCAAGACCAATTACCTGCACGACCTCCTTCACCAGGGTCTTGTCCGTGCCGGTTTTGGCTCGCTGCAGCCCGCTGACATTCTCGCCAATCCACGTGATGAGGGCAAACTTGGACCTCTTGCTCATGGCATCCCCGGTGGTGAAGCGCACGAAGGCAAACAACCGGACGTCATCTGTCGTCAACAGCAAAAACAGGGCACAGTGCTCAATGAAAACGTCCCAAGACTTTGCTCCCAAGGAGGAGCCACGAGCCAGAATGCTCCCAGAGCAACAGGGCAGGAGCCCGACGCTGACCTTGCACAACATCCCCTCGTATAACCCAGCAACGGCACCACAGGCTCTGAGACCCAGTTCACAGCTAGGAACGGAGGGGCACGTGACACTCCCAGGGCCGTGGGGGCAGTTCAAGGCCATACTGGCCTGGGAACACAGGCCCCTCTGGCCACTAAGCCTGAGACACCCCCCACCCCCACCCCGCATCCCTCACATGGTCAAGGAAGGCTCAGATTCTGGATCTGACTTAGCGAAACCTTCCTCAAGTCCTCTTGTCCCCTGAGGTGCTGCTCAGAATGGGAACTAAGATGGGAAGTGGGGGGTGGGGGGACAGAGTAGCCCCGATCTTGGCGTGGGGTATGGCCCTAGGACCGCTGGGCCTGTCTAGATCATGGCTGGAGGATTAGCGCAATAAAGAAGGCTGAGTATTGTCCCATTGGACACGTCCTGTTGGCTATATGTTACAGATCTGTTGTTATTAAAAGGCCTCGGGGCGGGAAGGGGGGGTTTGTTCCACTGGTCCACATCTATCTACCTTTTGTTTCATTACCATGCTTTTTTTCATTATTGTCCCTTCAGATAGCCCACCATTGCTATGCATTACCCAAAATATCTGCGACAGTCCTGAGTTTTTAGAGTGACCCGTGTGTGTGTGTGTGTGTGTGTTTCCCACTAGGATGAGCTAGGGTTTCTCCACCTCGGCACTCCTGATTCTTGGGGCTGGATCGCTCTCAGTGGTGGGGACTATCCTGGGCAAGTCAGGGTGCTGAGCGGCATCCCTGGCCCCCCACCCACTAGATGCCAATATCACACCACCCCCCGCGCCCCAGTTATAACAACCAAAAACGTCGCCAGACATTGCCCCGCGTCCTTTTGCCCCCAGCTGAGAATGAATTTCTGGGCAGTTTGTGTCCCCACTGAATCAAGACCCTCTTTGTGTCTTCCACCAACAGTCTGTGTTTTTCTTTGAGGAAATTATATATCCTTAGTCAGCTTAGTTCCTAAACAGTCCATATTTTAATTGCGATTATCGGGGAGAGCTCATCACTGTCCCTTGCTGGAGACGGCGGCCCAGGACCGGCTTCAGGTGTTCCCCTCCGGCTAGCTGCTCGGCTCAGCTCTTCCGTTCTCAAAGGGCGCCCAGCTGCTGGCTTTAGGATTTCTCAGGTCCCCAAAGCGAGTGGAGAGCTGTGCTTCTCAAGTGTTCGTGTGTGTCTGAATCACTTGGGGATCTCGCTAAAATGCACATTCAGAGTCCACAGGTCCTGGATGGGGCCCCGGAGCCTGCATTTTCTAAGTGGCTCCCAGGTGACGCTGATGCTATGGGTAAAAGGACCACATGGGAGCTTTTCTGTATTTTCATTTTTTTGTCAATCAAGGTCTCTTCCTCCTTAGGCTTCCCAGGGCCTCCCTGCTGAATCCCACACAGAGTATAGGTTTACACCAAGACCCAAGGCCAACGCCCTCTGAGTATAAAGGAGATCTGGAGCTGGTTAAGTTCGCTGCCCGGTTAGGACATCAGAGCCTGAGCACATCCTGGCCTACAAGCGGTGCTGTCTCATGGGCGGCCAGGGAAGCCAAGGAACACGGTTCTCAGCTGACCACAGACTCCTGATTGGGACCCTACGGTCCAGGCCAGGTGGCTCCATGGCGTCGATGTCTTAAAGGAAACAGGTCACCATCACCCAGTCACAGTTTATAAAACACACTGATGTTTTACTATCTCAGGTGCTCTTTAAAATGATGCTGTGAGGTGGGCCATGGGGGAGGAGGGGACACCACTGTTGCCTTCATCAACATGCACTTCACCCTCTGACAGATGAGGCTCAGAGGTCATGGGATGTGCCCAAGGTGACACGTGACGGTAAGCCGAGGCCTGGGTGGCCTGGGTGTGTCTGCCCAGCCCCCTTCCTTTGGGGGAACTGCCCCCACCCGGCCACAGGAGTCTGGCAGACACCCATTGTGGGAATGGACCATGGGGGTCAGTGGGGACAGAGAAGGACAGTCTCAGGGACATTTCACGGGCCAAATCAAAAGGGCTTGGTGGCAGACTGGCCGTGGGAGGGAAGGAAGCAGGAGTCCAGGAACTCCCACATGGGGGCGAGGGATCTATCTCTTATCCTCGAGGACTGACTTAATCTCCAAGCCCGGAGCCTCACTGCCTCATCTGTAAAATGGGGTGATATTTTTTGGTCCTTCCTTTTTTTTTTTTCTAAAAAAAGAAAAAGTCACAGTAAAAGGTAGAAGTCACAAAACATAAGATTCACCATTGTAACTACTTTACAGGGTACGATTCGGCGATATTGAGTACATTCACAATTCTGTGCCGCCCAACCCCTACGCATTATAGTCCTTCCCCTGCCCCTCTGCCCAGCCTGAAGCAACACTAATCTGCTTTCTGCCTCTGGATCTGCCTACTCTGGGCATTTCACATAGATGGAAGCACACAATCTATGGCCCTCTTTGACTCAGCACGTTGGCAAGGTTCATCCACATCGTGGCATCATTGGTCCCTCATTCCCTTTAGGGCCAAAGAATACTCTAGTTTATGGATATGCCACCTTCTGCTCATCCATTCGCCTGCTGATGCACGTCTGGGAGGTCTCCCAATCGGGGTGATTGTGCACCTCCCTCATCAGTCGGCCACAAGGACTAAATAGGAACAGCGTGCAACCCGCCGGGCCCAGCCACGGTGGGAACGTCTCCGTGAGCTGCCAGGTGGGCAGTGAGCACAGGAAACAGGGTGGCGGGGCGGGGGAACTGAATGTACGCAGCCACGCAAGGCTGGTGCAGACGGCGTGGGGGGAGGCCCCCCGGTTCCGGAGCTGCCCTCGGGAAGCCATCACACTCCTCTGAGCAGCCGAGCAGCCGTAGTGGAGGAAACCGAGATGCCGTGGCAGGCGTTTAATGAAATCGCTGCCCGATCTGAGGGGGAGGCAGGGCCACACGTCGGGCACCTCCCGACGTGCTCATGCCAAGGCAACGCAAGCAAAAGCACAGCAGCCCGTTTCCATGGGAACCACTCTGTGTCTCCCAGCCCCACCTTGGAAGCCTGGAGGCTCGGGTGCCCATGACTGCGGCTGGATTCCCAGCGCCCCATCAATGGCCAAGGCCTCCAGGTGGGAAAGTTGCAAACCGTGTGCCCCACGTACCAGCCAGGGACCAAGTGTGAGATGCACAAGAAGCGAGTCACGCCCCCCCGCCCCCCACCCCCCACCCCCCACGGGCATGGGGAACCTGGCAGCCGTGGACCTTGCCCAATGTCATTTACATTCTAACGGCAGGAGGGACGGTTTTCCTGGGTGGCTGCTGGGGCTTATCTGACAATGCTTTGGCCGACGAGATTGCTGACGTTTTTGAAAATCCAAGAGTCACGTTATGCTTACAAATGTTTGCGGCCCCAGATTTGGCCCGACCTGCAAGGTCAGCTGAGTCTGCAAGGGAAAGTCGGTCTGTCCGAGCGACCTTGTCACAGCCGCCCACGCGGACCTGAAGCCTCTCTATCCCACTCACCCTGAAGGAGGCTCTGAGCCCGTTCTGACCTCCAGCCGGCTGGCGCAGGGGAAGCTCTTGTTCTTAGTCATGACTTGGGCCACCTTCCCTCTTCTGGACAAACGGGGCTGACAAAACACATGCGCGCGCCCGGCCCCAGCATGGCATCTGAGTGCCGAACAGCCCTCCCCTCCCTTTTCTCCTGCTGGTACCCGGCTCACACACAGGAAAACGTGGGTGTACCAACGGAAAGGCAGAGCTAAGCCACATCGTACACGTGGATAACACGTGCTCCTGCATGTGTGTGTGCACGCACCCGGGTGTGCCCACTGTGATGGAATCTGGCCGGGAGGACGTGGGTCCTTGAGATGGCCGTCACCTTCATAGTGCCACTCGGTCCCCAGAGGGCCAATGGCACATCTTTCCAGCTTGAGGCTCAGGAGCTGAGGGTGCAGCTCCGGGTAACCCCGGTGGGGTTACAGACAGACCCCTGAGCTCCCTGTCTTCTACAGAGACTTCCACACAGCTGTCTACACCGGCTGCCGCCTCAGCCATTCACCTTCTGCTCCCCAGCACCCAGGTTAACAGCGCAAGTTCCGGAATCCATTAGAAGCTCCCCCACCTTCATGCCAGCTCTGTGACCTGCACCAGATGCACCCACAGCTCTAAACCTCAGTGTCCCCCATCGGCATAGCTGTGAGGATGACAGGAAACAGGATATGCACCGGGCGTGGCTCCTGGGTCCCCACCTCTCCGCTAAAAGTGCCCCGGGGGCCTCAGTGCCTCCCACCCACCAGACCCAACAGTGGCCTTCCTGCCTTTCCCTCCCCGCTGGCTTTCTGCGCCCCCCACACTTACACTCGCTCCTCTGAGCGTCAAAGCAGGGGCGTTCCCAGGCACACAGGCATCGGCCACCGCTTGGCGAGCACTACTCACAGGCCTACTAGGTGCCGAGCACAGTGGCGGGCAGATTAGACAAACAAGGGTGCTAAGGATAACAGAAGCCGTTTACTGAGCACCGAGGACATGCCGGGCACCGTTCAAAGCGCATACACGTGCTGGCACGTTTCTGCATCCCAAGCTCTCCGTGCGGTCGGCTCTGCTCCCAGGCCCATTTTACAGCTGAAGAAACTGAGGCTCAGAATGCTGACGTGATAAGCCGCCAGACACCACTTTCCCTGCCTGCTGGAGCACCGGTTGAGAGCCGTTCCCAGAGCGGGGGGCCCGGACCAGCCGCATCAGCATCCCCCAGGAAACCATGGGAACGTGGCTACTCAGGGTCCACCCCAGACTTGCTGATTTGGGAGCTCTGGGAAGCCATGCCCCTGGGGGATTCGGGTGCCTTCAAAGCTTGAGAAGCACTGACCTAGAGAAAGTGGGGGAGGGGAAGAGAACCTGCACCAGCCCT